ATCTCTGCTATAAATCACTGGCAGGACTTCCAAATGCTTCTTCTGTAATTTATTATATGAGTGAGACAAACATCTGTTTCACATCTAATTTATGGAAACACCAAAGACCATGCTGAAACATGAGGCACATGAAGCAACCATGCTTGGAACAACATCTTGGTGTCTTCCCTTAGTAAGGGGTATCACCAGTGTGCTTACTTTGTAAGGAAGAAAATATTTCCATGCAGAAGTGCTTACAGGTGGCCCCTCCAGTTCTCACAGTATGTTTTTTAGTGCCTGAATGCTCTCCAGAGCTGTAGCATGAGGTTCTGTGTGTGTTTACTGCAAATTGGCATATTTGAAACTTTTTTTCCAGATAGGATACAAGGTAGAAAACACCTACTCCAAGAATTCTGTTGTATTCTGGGTATTGTGTCTGTAAACACATTGTTCAGCCCTGCATTTGAGAGTCTCTTCTGGCAGGATGTATAAAGCCATTACAGGATGCTTTTGATACAAGGAAAGGATGGGACAGGCAGCCTTTGCTTACTGCAACCCTGCAGCCATGCTCAATGCCAGTGGGTTTGGCTGTGCCCTTCCATAGGGACTGCACAGCATCCTTTACCCTGCTCCATTATCCTCTGTTGTGCCAGTGCCACCCTCCTGCATCTGCCACAGGAGCACTCAGCTCAGGGGCTGTGTTTTGGCAGAGCAGTGGTGAGGCTCTGGTGGTGGAGAATAAAGCAAAGAAGGTTCACTGGCTGGGGAGGTGCTGCAGTGAGTGAGGCCAGAGCAGTGGCCCTGCTTGGACAGGGTAATTCCCTTTGCACACTGTCCTGAGAGGATTATCAACATCTCTGACTGTGACAGTACATGCATGGGAGAGCATTTGCTGACAGCTCACCATTTAGCTCAACACCTTTGATTTTTGGAGGTGAATGATGGCATTGCAGGGGAATGTGCCATCGTTCTGTGCCTGAAAGAATCCTCCTGTGCTGCCTGTGACCCTTGGGCACTTGTGCTGCTGCCTGTCTCGGAACCAGCACAGTTGCTTTTACAGCCACACTGTGAACTCTAGCAAAGAGTTGATGTGGCTGAACTTGCTTTCATTTGGAGATGCTCTTTTGCTCTTTTCAGCATTTCAATTCCTGGTCTAGTTCCCCAAGCAGCAGCCAGGATGCAGGGGTCTTGGCAGTAGTGACTGCCATAGGAAATGTGACGCTTGCAGTTTATCATGTATTGTAATTGCAGCTAATGCCTTAGATTGATATAATGAATTTTGAGTTTTAGCTGCATTGTGGACTGCTTCAAAGTGTGGGGTTTGACTCCTTCCCCCCCCCCCCCTTGTGTGGTGCTTTCCTGCCCATTTTTTTTCTGATACATGAGTCTTTCCAGTGCTGAAAGAGATTAGCTCCTGGGTGCAACAACTCATTGTTTTCTTTTGGATCAGTGAATTAGTGCAACTTATTTGGTTCTATGATCACAAGGCAGGAAGGGAAAACAATCACATCTTTTAAGTAGTATTCTGCCATGAGTTGAAAGGGAAAAAAATCCTGTTTCTGTGTTACAGCTGGGGACCTCTCAGAGTGGAGAGATCACCACCTGCCTTATTTTGAGCTGCAGTGTGATATTTATTACAGTAGTTGTTGCTATTTGACCTGTTTAGAGGTGAAATGCTTTTCTTGTGACTACAGAAAAGCAAGGTAATATTCCATGGTTTTCAGGGAGCAGGTTTAATGTTTTACCCAGAGGATCAAGACAGTTGTTGCATTTGAATTGGGAATGATTTTTCTAAAGAAATTAAATTTTCCTGAAAACATTACCTCCAATGCAGTTATTTTCAGACAGGTTTGTTAGTGTACAATCTGTGTTGCTGGGGGTTTTGTGTTCCAATCTCCACATTATTTTTTGGCTTCTGTAACTTCAGTTTTACTACCTAGTTACAGCAAGAGTCCTGAAGTCCTTCATTTTGCCTGGTGTTCTGGTAATGGGCTACCATGAATTCTTTGCTTAAGCATTTGCCTTTTTCCAAAAAGTTTCATGTCATCTGCTGTTGTTGATAGATAAGAAGTCTTTCTCATTGACTTCCTTGAAGTTTCTCACCTTTTGTTCTCTCTTGATTTTTGCTGTTCTTACAGCACCACAAATTCTGCATTAGAAGTATACTCCAACATTTTTATGGAAATTGAATGTAATACTCTGTCCTCCCATAAGCTTCTGGTAATACCTAGATTATAATATACTGAATTTATCTCCAGACAGTGGTTGGTAATACTCTTAAGTATCACTGGTTTAACATTTTGATTTTCTGAAGCTTGGAAGTTGTATTTATATAGTATTTCCCCTTTTTAGAAAGGCCTTGACTTTTTTTTTTTAATTTTTTTTTTCTTTTCTTTTTGCTGCTTAGTTTTCTTAATCTGATAACATTGCTCACATTCAATAAAAAATGGACTGGAAGTACCAAAATGTCTATAGTAAGAGGAATCGTGAAAAAACCCCAACACCCTGCATTTGAGCTGTTTGGAAAAGGCCTTTTTTGTGAAAAGGTTACCAGGGATGGAAAGGCTCTGCTAAAATAGACTTAGGGGGCTGAAGTGTTACTATTTTGCTGAGTGATGCCATTAATCATCCTGATTTAGGGAGTAAAAGCCTAAACAGGGTGAGTTTGCTATATTAATGTGTGTTTGGTGATAGATACAACAAATGGTAGTGTAGCAGCCTCCTGCTGCCTTCTCTGTGTTCTTGGTATTTTTTTTCTTCTGCCTGCTGTACTTGGCTGTCAGAATCATAAAGGAGTAGTTTCTCTGACAAGTCCTGCCCCTTTTCCTGCCTCAGCATAATCCATCTTGCTGAGCATTCTGCAGTGCTCTGCGGTGGAGTGCTTGCTGTGTCTCACTTGAGAGAATTACAGGAAGAGCTCTGGAGAATTGTTCCCAGGCTGCTGACAGCAATCACCTGGCATCTGAACACGTGCTGATACCGAGTGCTGACCTCTTCCTTTGCTGGGCAGGCTGATAAGGCATGGCCAGGTCTTGGTTAGGCTTTGGTGTGGCAATAATCCACTGAGAAGCTGGTGTGATATCAGGGATCTCTAGGAGAGTCCATGATCTTCCCTTAAATAACTTTGTTTCTGCAGCTGTTGTGCTGGGGAGGAGAGATTCACTTGCAGAATCTCTCTCACACTGTGAGAGATTAAAACCACAGAGCTTACATGATAGGTTGTTTTGTTTTTATTCAAACTCCAGGTAACGAGAAAATTTGGATTATAAATAGAAAGCTTAACAGTGGGAGTAATACAGTATATAGATCATTTGTGCACGTGAGTGAATGACCTTCATAACTAACCTATGAGTCATTCCTGTGAGAATAAATTGGGCTGCAAAACAATTAACTGCTCTGCTTGTACTTGCTGGTTGATATGCTAGACTGACCAAACTGGCCTGTTTTAAAAATGGACATAGTGCTTGTTTTGGAAATTATAATAATTCCCGTATTTCCATGCTTAAGTGTTGGTTAACTTCTATGAAGGTACTAATAGGTCTTCTTTATATTGAGGAAAAATTGCTTTACATGGAAAAAAAGAAGCTACAAAACAAAAAGTGTCTGAGGTAGAAAAAAATCTTGCCACTTGCTTGCCAGTGTATGTAAGATAAAAGTTGGGTCCTGTGTTGTTTTACTCAATAACTGTGGAGGTTGGGAGGGGGTAGGGTTTTTTTTAGCAGCTGCCCTTGTTCAGCATAAATACATTGTGACGTTTCATATTTAAGTAATTGCACAAAACCAGATGATAACTTACATATTTTTATTATCATATTGATTACTTAATGATGCATAATGCATATTGTATTAACTTGGTGATTTGTCATAAATCAGTTTGGATTTTTCGTGGAGGTACCAGAAGTGGAACAAATACTGCATTTCTGACCTTCACGTTGTCAGCTCTAGTTCTGAACAGTCAGGCAGTCACAAGTCTTTCCTTGCTTTTATACCTCTATTGCTGCTATCACCAGGTTCTGCAGTTTTCATTAGAAGTTTATTCTGAACTTTCAATACTGAAGAACTTGGTAAAATCATTGGTGTTCTCAATAACACTCATTCTGGAAGAGTTGTGATTGATGAAGAGAGTAGTTCCTAAACTTTTCTGGTTTTAATGCAAGTATTATGTTTATTGACTTTCTGGTTTGTGATTGCAGTTCTTTTCTTTTGTTCTTTGTCTCGAGAGAATTAGAGAAAATCAGTTTTCTGGTAATTCTAGTAAATAAAGACTGCTTGTATAGGTGCTGGTGTTGTACCCCATGGCCTGACACCTCCCCCATCTTTTTTTTCCCCTTTTTGGAATGAGACTATTGTCTTCCTGGTGGGGATGGAACAATAGCTGTTCTCAATGACATAACAGTGGAACTAGAATTTAAAATAACATTTTATCCATGACCCCCTTTCTCTATTTTTGCCCTCTCCCTCCTGCTTGGTACAGACTGAATGCCTCCTTGGGACACTGTGTGTAAACCTCCATGCTTTGCTGCTAAATGTGCAGCAGAATTCGTGTTTGGAGTATCTAATGTGGCAAGTGCTAAATTAAACACTTGGAACACTTTAGGGTTATGAGTCATCAATCCCTGGCTGCTGTTTTTAGATTTCAATAATTAATACAACCTACCTGGAAGTTACTTTTCAGATCATGGTGATCCACAATAAATCATGAATACAAATAAGCTAGAAAGTTCAGGTACCTGAATGCAATATTTTCCATTAGGATTACTAGTTCTTAATGTTAAAACAGGTAAAATAAGAAAGTCAGCTGCTTTATATATATAAAAATTATTTTTAGGTCCAGAAGCAAGCAGAATTTAGAGCAGAAGGAGCGTAGCAATTATTGGGGGAGTCTTAGTTCAGTAGCCTCAAATGTTTCAAAGGAAGAATCTTACCTGTTAACAATTTTTTTAAAAAGAAATAATCCCTAATGATTAAATACAGAATCACTCAGTAATACTGACTCTTAAATGTTTTTTTCTGTTTTGTAGAAGACCCTTTTGAGGACTTCTTCGGTGGCAGGCGGGGTCAGAGAGGAAACAGAAGCAGAGGTGGTGGTGGATCATTTTTCTCTGCCTTTGGTGGATTCCCTGCTTTTGGAAGTGCTTTCTCTCCATTTGACACAAGTAAATATCATAACATTTAAGAATGCAATTTTGGCTCACAAAGGATTGCAATACAACAAGCTGGCTTCTCCATTCAGGCAATTCTGTGACTAATTTTTTTTTTAAATTAAGATGGTGTCTGTAAGGTGTAAATGAAAATTAAGCCACTGTTAGAGTATTTGGGCTACCTGAAAGTTCATATAGAGTGAACAGATCTCTAACAAGTAGAACTTTGTGTTTTCTTTATTTTGGTGCTACAGTTTCTTCATGGCTTTAGAATTCTTTTGTTTCAGGAGTGTGATGGCTTTAATTACAGGTCCTGAAAATGTGCCTAAACCCCATGATATTGCTCAGAGTGCTGGGAATCTGGGCTTTGTTTGGGATGTTACTGATACAGGACTTGTTCTGTCTGCCAGCTTGGGGCATCCCAGCATCTGCACTAAAGCTGATGATCACATTCATTAGGGTTGCTGGCTTTCCCCTGAGTGCAGTATGGATAAAGGGGAAGAGTTGGCAAATGGTTTTTGGACAATGCTGTGCATTTGGAACCTGAACTGTGGGACCATATGAGAGAAGTGGATGGGGCTGGAGCCATGGTTTATTCTCAGGCTGGTGTTAATGCCATCTAGTCACTGATGCTGCATGATGAAACCAGCTGAAAGTAGGATGAAGTCTGAGTGGATGATAAGTTTGGATCCCACAGCCATGCAAAATTACATTTTATTCAAATGCCATCTTTTTCAATAGGTTTTACTTCGTTTGGCTCCCTGGGACATGGAGGCCTTACTTCATCATTCTCCTCTACGTCATTTGGTGGCAGTGGAATGGGAAACTTCAAATCAGTATCAACCTCAACTAAAATAGTTAATGGCAGAAAAATTACTACAAAGAGGTAAGTGATATAAATATATTTATATGAAACTATATGTAGAGACTTACATACCTATAGTTACATGCATATAAATATATTGTATCTTTGCACACACACACATATAATGATACGTATTTTTATGTTTTACTTTTGTTGTTATGTTCATCATATTGGATTTCTCTAAATGCTTAAAAACATCTTGAAATACTTTATTGGGTTCTCTGCCTCTTCTTGGCATTGTTGAGTTACTTAATCTGTAGCTGGAGCTCTTTTAGGCTTCAGAATCTCCTGTGTAGTGCTGCACCTTTTACTACGGTCCTTCACTAGGAAGAATTTTAGTTTTGCAGATGTTATGAAAGAATTTTCTCTAGCATCTGCTTAGTGTGCTTTCCTAGGCAGTGTTTGAGTGAAGTCTTTCTAGTATTTTTTTTTTGTCTGTTAAATGAAATAAGAAACTGAAGCCTGCTTTGGAGAAAAAAATGTGCCTGTTTGTTAGAAAGTGAATTTTCAAGTTCTGTGCACAGTTTTGTGCTTGTGATGGGCAAATCCTTGCATTTGGGAAACCCAAGTCTTTGTTAACTATAGAAAAACCTACATGGAGTATTATAATCAATATAGGAGTACTGAACAATTAAGTAATTTCATTACTTAATATAAAATTACAGAAAAGTGAAGGAGGATAAATTGTTTTTGTTTGTTAACTTGGGTCCCATACTTGTAAGTGCAAGGTTCTTCTGTGAACTGTACTGGAGAGCTCCTGTCATCTTGACCACTTAATAACACAAACAGCCTCTGGATCACATGCTGGTGTGGTCATAATATTTTTCTGAGTGCATGCCAGAAAAATCTGAAAACTCAAAAGCTCTTTAATAATCTCTCTTTTCAATCAGGGATACTTGAATTTTGTAACATGCAGGCTGGTCATAAAGTTGGTGTATAGTAAGTCCACAAATTACTTGCTGTGATCAAATTAAAAATGGATGTTAGACTGTCTTGTGTACAAAATTGTGATTGGATCTAGAATATCATACATTTAACAAATGGGTAGGGACTCAATGCAGTGTCAAGATTGTGCAGTTGATCTGTCAAGGCCTTTAGGCCTAGATAACAGTGTGTAGTGTGAGCACAGCTGTGACAATGACAGTGTATGGGGTGGCAGCTGTAACTGTGAACTCCACATCCTGGAGGATTCCAGCTTGCAGAAGGCAATTTTCCTGACTAAGCAATGGGGAAATGAGCTGGGTGCTGGTGCCAGCTCCGGCGCTGGTAAATACCAAAGCTTGCCAAGTACAGTTGCATTAAGCAGGTGCTGCTCCCTTACAGTTTGTTATCTAAACCTGAGGTCTGGTGTGTGTTCAGAACTGCTCATGGTGTTTCTGTCCTGCAGGATTGTTGAGAATGGACATGAGAGAGTAGAAGTTGAAGAAGATGGCCAGTTAAGGTCGCTAACAATAAATGGTAAGGAGCAGCTGCTACGCTTGGATAACAAGTAATTCAACGCACGCATTTAACAGAAATTTTAAGCTCTAACAGCCACCATTTGAGGATTGACAGGAACATTTTTTGAAGATTTCAAACGAATTCAACTTTCTGTATATCCGTACTCAATCTTAAGTAGTATAAGTAGCTCACAGAAGCTCGTATTTGTCATAGACTTTTGAGTTAATTGTTGGGACCACATCAATTGGACCATTTTTTGTCCTTTAAATTGTTGTAAACTTCTGTATGCACTTTTCTTTTCTTATCTGTGATCAAGGTGAACCATGATCCTTCAGTAGTGCTAGGGCGAGATGTACACTAACAATAGCATGAATCTTGCTTTTTCCAATTTGAAATGTGAGCCAATTAGTAGTTCAAGTCTGCTGTGAAGTTAACAGTTCCAGGATAACCTTTTTAATAATTTCAACTTTTTTTTTTTTTTTTTAAATGTTTAGTAGTGAACAATGTTAATACATTTCTGGTAATGCATTTCTGGTTTAAATAAATTAAGGATGTTTTCTAGTTGTGCATGAATGCAGACAACTTTAGTAAGTTTTGACAAATGTTTAAATGTGTGATGTAAGCAAAAGGTAAACAAAAGTGAAGCCAGTGAGCTGAGTCTTTTGTCATTTGCTAAAAAAAATTCAAAATGAATAAATGCTGATGTTTGTGGTGCATTCTTTCATGAATGGCATTTGTAACCTTCCTGTGTCTGTGTGTGATTTGGGCAACTTGGGAAAACGGTGCTTTTTTTTTTTCCCCCCCCTTACCATCTTTTTCTTCAATCTTAAGGATGAGGGCCTTTTTTCTTTGCAGATGTTTTCTTCAGTGTGACTGAAAACATTATTTTTAATTTCATTTCTAAACCTGTATTTGAAGCACCTATTTTTAAGAAGCATTCAGAGGCTGACTCTCTAACTCCATCTTTTGCCCTAATATGTAATTATTTTAAGTCTAGGCCGAAAGCAATTCTGTTTTAAAAAGTTTTCTAAAGTTATTCTGAGATTTGCTTAAAAAATAATCTGTAGTAAATACAAATATGCATTTGATAAATTTATTTATTTCACATTTAATAATTACAAAAAGACTGAGAATTATGAGGGTTTTTTTGCTGTTTTGAGAACAAGTAATCGCTTTGAAGATTTGGACAAAATTATTAGGATTATGATATCTCACTCTTATTTTTAGTCCTCAACCAAAAATCAAAAGATGGATTAATGCCCTTTGTTAAATTAATGGAGTGAAGTAAAGTGTTCTTTTGTAGCTAAGACCAGATTTTCAAAGTTTAGTGGAAAATGATTTGGTTTTGATGTGTCACAGAGAAAGCTTGCAGGTAACTAATGGTGTCTGTTAACACCTGCCAGGTTCTGGATAGTTCCATGCATAGATCATGGATGTGCAGCTTTCATCTGTGCACCAGCTGTGAACATCTGGCCTGCACAAAACTCTTCAGGGTGGCTTAGTGGTTTAAAAAAAAAAAAAAAAAAAAAGCATGGTGTATTCAAATGATCACCTAATGCCTTCTTGCTGAACACCATCTGCTTTGTACTAACAAATGTGTTGATTATTAAATACATTGAAAAGATATGCTCTTGTTTTTCATGCAGGAAAACCATTTCAACTAAGCCAAACCAAGCTAACAAACTGCTACAACAGAATTTGTATTTGCAGTAAAGTTAGTATATTGTACTTTTGTCCCTCTACCATTAATGTTAATTTGATAGAACTGAAAAAAAAATAACATGTAGAAGAAAAAATAAATATATACTTTGGTTTTGGGACTAAAGCAGTTATATACCTTTTCAAGTTCTTTGCAGAGTTCCTGTCACTTCAGTGTTGTGTTTTTGATGTAGAAGCACAAACTTAGTTTAGAACTAAACAGTGTTTTCTTGTTAATGCTGTTTTTTCCCCCTCCCCATGTATGTTATTTCTTGATCCAGATAACTAAACATGACATTTATTTCAAAATTTGGCTTTGTTGTGATGTCTTGAGTTATTAAAAATGTTAATTTATATTTATAGGATGCAGTGTGCTCCTTTAAATTATGTAAATTGTAAAAAGTGCTTTAAAATTGATTAACCAAGTTAAATAAAATTAGGACAATCTGGAGTTGAGTTTGAATGCCTTCCTCTGGATACCCATAGATTTTATATTAAAGTGCCAAACTTTGCCTTCTAGTTTTATTCCAAGTCTTTAACATTTCAATTGCCTTGCTCAGGTTAGGAACACAGTTAGGGTATCAGATCTGTACCCACATGTTTATCTTCTTACCTAGGAAAATATGATCCTTCTCACAGTGTTACACCCCAACAGGTCACACCAGGGTTCTGAAGTGAATTTTTTAACACTAAATGTGCTCAGGATCCGGATTTTTGGATAGTCTCTGTTCTGCCTTCAGATCCCTGAAGCTGCTTGTCAGAGCTGGCCAAAATGCAGCATTAAAGTGGCAGTGCTGCATTTCCCTGGTAGAAACTGGCAAAACACAGGGAATGAGTCAGCAGAAGGCAGAATTTGGCAGTAGGTTCCTGCAGGAGTGAGATACCCACACACCAGCATTTCCATGGGCTGGTAGTTGAACTGGATGTGTGGTCTTCATCCAAATGTATCATTGGACCAGCAATTCCAGTTCCAGGCTTAAAAACTTGTCATTGTTCACTTGACCTAAACCTAACAGTCTCCATCTCTTTCAGTGTTTTTTGAAATAACATCACATCCAACTTTTTTTTAATGCAACTTCTTGCATCCAGCTCCTTTTTTAAAACACAAAATAAACTCACATTCCATGTTTTATTCAGAATTTTTTTGCTGAATTTAGTTGTTTTCTCCTGAAAACCCACTTGTTAGGTTGCTTTGAAAAAAATTTCATGTTGTTCCTTTCTAATCCATAATTTGCATAGATGTACAAGACCTGTTTATTAGAAGTGATAGATCATCAAGGGCAGCACATTTCCTGACACTTCAATTTTGGCCAAAATAGTACAAAATAATTAACAACAGAAAAAGTTCCTGATGGCAAATGCTAGGTACAAATATACAGTGGGATGAGGCAGCTTTCAAAACCAGGTGCTATTGGATTAAAAGTGCCATCTTTTCATACACGAGAGATTAATTTTGAATTTTTAGGGACACCATCCCATTTAAATTAAGCATCCTGGAAAAACAGCTGTTTGGAAAAACCAAGATGGAGTTTTTGAACCTGCTAAGTCATTTAGTCCTTCATGCTCTGCTTCAAAGTTCATTGGTGGATACAAGAACTTTGTGATGCTTTCTCCTGGTGCACCCTCTTTGCAGTCCCTCGTGCATGGCAGTAATCCCAGTGCAGCACACTAACCCCCAGTTTCTCTATAGATTGCATGGCACCTGCCCCTTCCACTTGGCTTTCCTGAAGGAGTTGGGGATTTTGTGTTGGAATGCTTCACACTGTTCAGTGGCTGCACTCCTGCAGGGCTCAGTTCTCACAAGACCTTCTCTGCTGGGGATCAGAGGGCTTGGTTGGTGACAGAGGTGACAGAGCTGCTCTGCAGAGTGTGTGCGTAGCATTTGTCAGGTGGATCCTGTATCAACTTGTGAATAATTGATGAGCTGAGTCAGAATGCTGAAAACAAGATTGTAAAAGATTTAAAAAGCCCAGAGGGTTTGTATCTCTTCTCAGTGCTTGTGTTTGGTTATCCTGTTTCCTTGACTCCTTCAGTGTTTTGGCATTAGGTGTAACTGGAGGTTTATCTTTTGTACTGAGCTGTGCTGTGTTTCAGACCATCTGTGGGATAGTCCAGTGATAAAGTTAGATTTTAGTTTTTATTTTTGGAAATGGGAGTTCCTGAATGTGCTTCTGTTCTGGTTGAGCAGTGAGCTCCTTTGCCTGAGTTTAATCTGTGGTTGTAACAGGATAGTGCTTCTGAAGATGGTTGTGTTGCATAATGAATGCTACAGCTGTTTGATGCTTGTGGTCAGAGAACCTTTGAAAAGGGCCTAGTACTTAAAATACTTGTTAACCTTTTTGTGGAAGTGTTTCTTAGTATTTTTGGAAAATTTGCCTCTTTGGTTGTGATTTTTGGATGTTCTGGTTAATTAAGGCTTATTTTCAAGTCATGCTATTCTCATGGGCTAGTGGCAATATGGTAATATGCCAGTCAGCAGTAACCAAACTTTGAAACTTTATTTTTTTTAACATAAGAAAGTCTGTTTGTACTGTCTCCTCCCTCAGGGCTTGTTTACTTTATGATTGAGCTATGACCACAGACTTGATTTGCCTCAACATAGACAGTTTGGGCTTTCTTGTTATTGTTTGACTTAAAGTGGTTGTTGTAGTACAGAACTTCATGCTTTCCACCTGAAATGCTGAAATGGTCCTTACATTGCACCAGGGCTGGAATGAAGAATGTTGGCTTTGTTAGTGTTACAAACTGTACCTTTGAATTTGTAATTCTAGTGGATTTCTTACTTGTTTTTAAAAAATATATCTTGGCTAGAGTTGGTTGTTGAGTGAAGTGCACTGCTGAAGATGGTTGGTTTATTCTCTGCTATATAGGTCATACATCCACAAAATAGTAAACCTTGTGTTTGAGGTGCTGTCAGATTAAAAAAAATCAGGAAAGAATGAAAATCCTGTGATGATCAGAGCCGTAACCGTGAACCTCTGCAAGCTGTGCTGATTTAAACTCACTGAAACTTCTCTGAATACTCTGTTGTGGCAGACTCAGTGCTGCATTAGGTGTTATCTCACTTACAGCAGCTGGTAGAAAGTTAATCAAAACCCCACATGAGTACTTTATGCTCTGTCATGCTGCTGTGGCCAAAAGATAGGAGGAGTTTGGAGGTGATAGTGCCCAGGCCTGAAAGCTGGGCTGTCCTGGTGTGAGGTAGATTGATTGCACTGATGGCCTGACTGCTAATTGCCTTCTGAAAGAATGAAGGAAGACTTTCAGATGTTGTCAGATTCAAAATGTTGTGGTGGGGATTAAAGTATGTTTAATTGAGA